GGCCTAGCGTGCTTCCCTCTGAGCCATCCCAAACCTATCGCAACTCATCCCCAACCCTTCCAACTATTACAACTTCCCTCTTCAACTCTCCAACTATTGTCTCATCATCCCAAGCAATGCACATGCCTACTGACCAACCGATGTTCACCCCATCGCTCTCACCCTAAAGAGTCATTTGTGTGTTTGTGTTGTTTTATGTTGAAGAGTCATTTGAGTGCTTGTGTTGTTTTATGTTGAAGAGTCATCACTATAACATTTGAATTCAAAATTAGATATTTTTATTCAATTGTAGTTTAACTCCAATATTAGGTATCAGAGCTAGCATAACCATAGTCCTATCCTAGGCTTTCTTGGCATCTACCCTACCCTCCAAATTTTTTTTCCTATTCTCAAACCATAGCAATAGTTTGACATAACGCTAATTTTTCCTTGTTGATTTTCAAAACCACGAACCTTAAATCAAATTTTTATATGCTCTTTCACCATAAATCTTAAAGCCTAACGATGCGATCAAGGAGGTACATGTCAGACCGTATCTGAGATGAGATACAGTGGGAGATTCGTCGCCTTCAGTGAGGCGGGCCGAGATGGATGACAAGACCCAGAGGAGATTACCCTCGACCGAGATCTGGAGAGTCAAAGGGGAGAAATGGACGGGAATCTGAATCCGTTCCACAGGAAAGACGTCAGTGATGAGGAATATGGACCCCAGTGCTTTGGAACTCAGTACCAGAGAAGGTCAAGATAGAATACCACTTATGGAGGATACAGGTACTTCGGTATTAACATGCACCTACCGAGATTTGATGGAGGTATGGATCTAGATAACTTTCTCGATTGGTTGTAATCTGTCAAGCAAATCTTCGTGTATAAGGATGGGCTAGAGGATAAACAGGTAAAACTAGCAGTCATCAAGTTGAAGAAGAGCGCCTCCCTGTGTTGAGAAAACATACAGAAAAAAGGAAAGAGAGGGCAGTGCAAAATCACTAAGTAGGAAAAAATGAGAAAGGAGATGCAGAGGAAATATATGCCACCCCACTTCTGTCATGATATACTTTTGAGGCTCCATCACCTGCAACAATAAGATTTATCAGTGGAGGAGTTCATGGCTCAGTTTGACCAATTGTAGAAAAAGTACGAGTTGGTCAAGTCAGAGGAGCATAGGATAGCTTGTTACATGGGGGGCCTAAATCTCGTTATCAGCAACGTGGCACAACGCAGTCTTATTGGTCACTTGGAGATGTCCAGACCTTAGCGTTGAAAGTGGAAAAGCATCTGAAATAGAGCGGTCAACCACCACTGTTAAACAGCCAGCCAAAGTTGGAAACACCAGTAGGAGCCAGTCTCGGGGAGTTGAAAAAACTGATTTGGACAATGATAGAGCTACCCTGAGTGAGAAACAACTTGAGTAGAGTAGCACGTCTACTATAGTCCTCACCAGAACATGCTTCAGATGCCATGGATTAGGCACCTTCAGTTGTCTAACGAGTCGAGATGCGTCTTTTATCAAGCAAGGAGCAGCGGAGGAGGTTAATGACGAGAAAACAGCTGAGGAACATAATGTGTATCATCTTCCACCAGATGAAGGAAGGACACTCATGATTCGACAAGGCATACAGATCGAGGATATGAGAGATTCACATTGGCTTCTTCATAATATATTTTACACCTATTCCACCTTGAACGGGAAGATATGCAGTCTCATCATCAATGGAGATAACAGCAGGAAAGGCTTACTTG